CAAACTAATTTACGACATTGCTGTTGACATTGTGCATTCGTTTAGTACAGTTTTTCCCAAGTGGGCGTTATTGCCCCTTTGTGGGCGCTGCAGGACTAAATGGGGGTGGAGAAAGGGAGCTTAGGAAAACAGGGATGTTGTGTAGCTTAGGAAAAGTCCAAGGTCTCCTAGGTCTCAGGTTAACTTTTACGGGTGATATTAAAGTCTCTTTCATAATGAATGTTTAATCGTCTCTGATCGCTCACAATGAGTAACTTAATTAGAAGTTATAGTAGATTTAAGAAGATGAAAAAAATCACCATCACATCATCACCATCACCAGCCCTTTTACGTCCCCACTGTAGGGGCTCAGGCCTTCCTTATGGCCTTCCCATCCCGTGACCGACCCTTGCGGACGATCGCGGGCCGCGGCGCTTATCCACTACGCCACCGAGCTAGTGAAAAAAATGGGGCGCTGTAAATATTTTCTTTATCCAGTGGGCAAAAGACGAAATAAGTTTGGGAACCCCTGGATTTTCTAAATCTTCTGAACCACATTTTATACCATTCTTAACATAAATAATGTTAAATAAAAACAAATACTACGTGATGGTGTTATTATGTTTTAACGCAGTGATTCAATTTAGGAACGAACCAAATTAGAAATATTTTTTTTTACAATTCGAATGGAAATTCAAAAATATTTATAGTTATGACAGAGTTAAAAAATATAAAAACGATTCGAATGCTATTATGTCTTAGCAGAGTGATTCAATCTTGGATCGAACTAAATTAGAAAAAAATCTGCAACTGGAATGGAAACTCAGTGTTAGTTAAAATATATAATATTTTAAAATAATTACATGTAATCTAATGTATATACTTCTACCAATTATTTTTTAATACCACAATGGATATAATATAGATATTAAGTTAGTTCGCAGTCAGCATCAGCCTTTTTCCAATAATATAATAAGTAACAGTAACACAGCCACTTAAATTACCTATACCTTATTGAATTATACAATTTTTTTCCTCGTATGCTACTTCAATTGGATTTGAAATCTAAATAAAAAATTCATCCACCAGCTTATAAAACGTTCAGACGTGGCGTAAAAATAGGCATTTATTATTCTAAGAATGTTATAACATATTATAAGTTTTATAAATATTTTATGACTAGTCATAAATAGCGAGCTGTGATTTCAGAATTGGTGATACGTCACTGATATTTTTGTTCTCCGGATTATAACTTTAGTGGAACTTCTGGAACATTTACCGATTTTTCTCGGAGGAAAACGAATAAGAAATAGGAAACGTACCTACACTCCGGGGAGAAGTTTCTACGTAAAAGTTGGAATACTCAGCAAATTTCTTCATCTATCCGAAAATAGAGCTTTTGTAATTATTTATTACTGCGAGATGATAAGCTTAATTCGTTATTAGCCGTTTATTGTTTAATTTAAAGTAATGTGTAATAGAGATTTCGAATTACAGTAGAATATTGTTCAGCTATTCTATTAAAAAAACAGCCTCGAGGGCATAGTGTATAAACAAATAAAACCTACTTCAAAAATAACAAAGGTTTTAATTCGTTGAAGCTCTAATTTTATTAACAGTAAAAATATTGTCCCAATACTAAGACTTAATCTTAATCCTGTCAAATATATTTTTTTAATTCTGCAAGCAACTAAGGTTACAGAAATTTTGTTACTTATTTATTTGCCTTTAAATAGGGTACAATTTCATTAGGTGATATTACAATAAGTTAGACTTTAAGACCTACTTAGCCATATTTAGATAGCATGCAAATATAAAATTTTATGTTATTACAATACTAATTCATACATTTGCATCATTTTCATATCATTATACAAAATTATGAATTTTACCACAAAAGTTACTTATTTTATAGATAAAATTAAAAATGTTATAACGAAAAATTCCATAAAAGAACATGAAAATTGATCAAAATAAACTTTGTGTAAACTAATGTAGCTTACAGTCAGTTGCACAAACGTCCATTTAAAAATACCTAAATTTAAAGGGACATTATCGATACAAATTTGGGATTCATTCGAGCTTAAAGGTGTCATTAGACCTCCGTAGCCGAGTGGTTTGCACGCCGGTTTCAAGGTGTCGCCATCTCTGAGGTCCCGGGTTCGATTCCCGGTTGGGTCAATGTAGAAAATGAACTTTTCTATATTGTCTCGGGTCTGGGTGTTGTGGTACCTTCGTTGTCTCAGATACTCCATAATACGGGGGCTTTACCTACTCATCTTGGAATCTGAGCAATGTATGTGATGTTGTTAAATATTTATTTATTTATTTTAATGGTGCAACTGACAATCATATTAATTTACTGGATGTCATATTTCAAATATTGTCTATTGAGTAAAATGTTATTTCCAATAACTATTTACGTAACTATTTAAACTAAGTACTATTTAAACCGAGTAATCGGTAATTGTTTGAAATTTGGTGGCCTAACTATTTTTTTTATCTTTTAATCTTGGGAACGTTTCTCAAAACTAGGCTTTCAGGGTTTGTCATGGCTCTTTAGCTTAAATCTCGTGCTTGTGTAAACTTTTGATTATTAAATATACCAATCTCTAAAATATAAAGTCACGGTAAAAATATAAAGTAAAATATAAAGTAGGCTTTGCAAAAAATATCCGGCCTTAAGTAGCATATAGCACGAATGCACCTTATTTGCGGAATAAATAAAGTATTTATATGAGTGCCCTTCCCCCAAATTAATAATCCATATCTTAAGATGGATTTTACGTATTCAAAGTAAGCCATGACTGCTGTATTTACGAGGGGAGTTCAAAAAGTAGTGAGAATGACTATGTTAGAGAATGAATTTTTTTTTCGACGTAATCACCCTTTATGTCAAATACATTTATCAAATCGTTTTCTAGAGCCAAAATTCATCTTGAGTACCTAAAAAATCGTTTACAATGACCTTCACTTCTTCGCCATCTTCAAATTTTGTGCCTCTCAAGTATTCTTTCAAATGCGGAAATAAGTAGAAATCACTAGGGGCTAAGTCCGATGAATATGGCGGATGATCGAGGATATCAAAGCTAGGATCTTGGAATGCTGCCATGGCAACTGCAGACTTGTGGGCCGGCGCGTTGTCTTGATGAAACAAAACTTTTTTCGTGACTTTTCCTTGTCGGTTTTTAAGGATTACCTGATGTAATTTTTTTATTTGTTCTGCATAGACCTTTCCTGTGATAGTGGCTCCATGTTCAAGGTATTCAATCATTATCAACTCCTGGCTGTCACAAAAAGCTGAACTCATGATCTTGCCGGCGGATTGTTGACTTTTGAATTTCTTTGGTATGGGAGATGTCGATCTTTTCCAGGACATTGATTGTTTTTTCGTTTCTGGATCATAATGATGAAGCCATGAATCATCCATTGTTACGAATCGAGCCAAAATATCAATTTTATCTATTTTTTGCGAGAGTTAACGACGCGTCACAAACAAATAATTAATACAACTGACACAGACAAGATAGAAACCTAATTATTTGAGGGTATAATAACAAAGACCTAATCTTTCCGTGACCACAGATTCCATTACATTCTAGTTTTTATAGTACATATACTATAGAGGAAATGATTATATTTCTTAGCACGTGTATTAACAAATTACCATTAAAAATTTATCGACTTTCTATAAACTGCGAATTTATTTTAATATTTAAAGGTGAATACCTATTTGAGATTAATTTCTAAATTCAGTTAATTTAAATATATAAATTCATATAACTTTAAAATAATTAAACAATGAAATTATACTCAAATTATGTTATCTATGATATGTGTCACTCTGATACAATGTACTCAATGTATTCGAACTTAAGATAGCAGGAAACAGGGACAGAAGTCCGTCACTCTTTCTAATTGAAGTAACTTTGGCAGCGCGGTGAATGGAACAAAATTAGTTGTAGTTCACGAAATAGCACATCAGCTTGGTTATGAAAAGTATGTTTTGTATAATTAAATCAAAATTATGACTTTGCATGTACATAGCCGTTAATAGTTAATAAAAATTATAACGGCTGACTGACACATTGTACTATGTTAAGCTGATTGGTTCGTTTAGATGCTGTCTCTCCTGATATCAAATTTTTATTATCAACTCGCTGTTTTCCCGCGTATTAACTCGCGTAAATTATAGCCTGTGCCATCCGCGTATGATGTAGCTTTCCTTAGTTGAAATAATATCGATAATCGGGTCATTCGAATTCGAATGACCCGATTATCGATATTGTTGTACAAATAGATAAACAATGTTAGACATTTTACCTCTTTATTATTAATACCTATATATGATTAACTTATTGCGTAGAAGGCCGGCTGATCCCGGCTGCGCCAGCTAACCTTTGAGTGTGTCAAGAAATTTAGTAGGAAAGCATTGTATAACTACAATAATTAAAAAAATATCTGAGATTTTATTTTACAACTTCTGCTTTTTAAAACATATGCATATTTTAAATTATACGTATAGATCTTAAAAATCTGATTTCTGATTTCTAAAATCTGGGGAACGACGGCGTCCACTAAATATCTATGTCTCTAGCCCTAGCTATAATAAAGATTTATTAAGTTGATATATTAGTAATATAATATAACTTTTTTTTCATTTATATATTTAAAAAAAAGAATAAAGTTCAAAAACTACAACAGCCATTGATTAAATAATGAAAATATTTGAGCGACTACTTTAACCGAGAGATTGCGAAAGGTCTTGGGTTCGAGTCCCATCTCAGAGTATTTTGCCAAGGCCAAGATATTTTTCAGTAAAACATTGTGGATGCAACATATTATCATATTTATTTAATAAATCGATCGTTTGTTTTATAGCTATGGCTAGTTTTATATTGAAAGAACAAGACATTCGTTTTCCTGATCGCGTAAATTAATTTCTCGACGATCTATATAGGTCATTTAAACTGTAGCTGTAGCCTAAATATTTTCTTGTTATTTCTAGATGTAACAAAGCTATGTATGCTAATCGTATTTCCTATTGGATCGATGGGAAGGGTCCTTCGTACGCGCTTGATCTTGCCTGCGCCAGCTCTGCAGCTTGCTTGGAACACGCATACAGAAGTATCAGCACGGGTCAATGTGATGCTGCTATTGTTGGAGGTTGTAATTTGTGCATGCATCCTAGTATCTCACTGAATTTTAGAAGGTAAGGAAATAAATATTATAATATCATTATCAATCCAATAGCATCCCTATTGCTGGTGTACGAGCTTTTTTTCATAAAAAGCCACTCACTGAAAATTAACCACAATCGGTAGTGCGATCTTTAGGAGCGTTAAATAGGCACATTTCTGGATGATAGCATCTATAGATGCAGCTAAGAACAATGGCATCTCTTGCATTTTGAAGCACGGAGAAACTTAACAAATTTTGTTCGTTGACTAGCTTTTGCGAAAATTGTATAACCAAAATTACAAATCGAAACTACTCTAACCCCTATTCCATCGAGCTCAACGAGAAAATATATTTTGTGGAACATTACAGTCATCTCGAATGCTCTTGAGAAAGTTCTTAGTTCGTGATAAGTTTTAGTCTAGAAAGAACTTTATACAGAATGGAGTTTATGAGCAACCTTACTTTTTTGTTTTTGATCGTATTTAATAATATGAAACTTGGAATTTATAAGTAAAAATATTATTTACGTTGATTTCTATGTTGATTAAACAGTCGTTTTAATTTGATTGATTTGTTTCTTCTCTCCTAAATTGACAACTATCCTTTATTGGTCTAAAACCCCTTAATATGCAACGTGTGCGATGGTAGTTAGCATTACAAAAGGAAAATAAAGCAAATGTTTTGGTTATTTTGTAAGAGTAGGTACTTGAGAGAATTAATAGCATTAAAATTATTAAATTATTAATATGTTATAACTCAAAGAGGTTAATATTTATCAATAATACTTTTTGAGAAAATATATTTATTAAAGTATTCTATTATTCGCGTGTCTTATTCTTACTTATTCCTCCTAATTAATTTGGTGGCAAGACAAGATGTTGTCTTTTTAGCTAACAAAGCACTTAAAAAACGCAAGAAGATGGTAATATAATTTATGCTCCAAAATTCTAATTAACTATAATTGCTTAGCCTTATTTGGAATGTTAACGGCTTTCATTTAAACTAACGTATTTAATGTCTAATTTTATCGTAAAAAATATTTTACTACTACTTTTTCTTTTATATAAAATAGTCCTTTTTTTGTCGATCGATCTCAAAAAAGCAGAATATCTATTATCTATTTGTTCACGTTTCACAGCAAGTTTTTTAGAAAACAACTGAACCGATTGAGTTGAAAAAACGCCTTTCTATTAATGTAAATAAAGTCTTGCAATGTAACTAAGTTAACCTGAAACATGGAGGTTTCTTTAAGGCTAACTAGATAAAAATAGTCTTGTAAGGGCTTATTATAACACTTTAAGATAAATTATTTTGTAATTGTCATAGAAAATAGTCAAAATCGCCGAAACTACAGCATTTAAAAGGTTTTAAAAAGAAAATACAGGCAATACTTTTTTAGCGAACTCTCTGAGCCCGAATCCTTCTTCGTCGGTTTTTTTATTATTAGGCGCCTACTTATAACTTTGAATGATGAAATGTTTTGAATTTCAACTAAATTGGTGAGATATGGCAATATTAGATCACTTATCGCATAAATGCAAAGCAGCATATAAAGTTAACAAAAGACATAAATCGATATTTATACCTATGTGATAAAGAATAAATTGAAACACAATTATATTGTGAAAACAATTACTTTAAATTTTATTATTTTCAGAGCTGGCTTTATAAGCTTAGATGGAAAAAGTAAATGTTTTGACAAGAACGGAGACGGCTATGTCAGATCTGACGCCATTAGTGTTTTGTTTCTACAAAAAGCAAAAGACGCTAAAAGGTATGAAAAATTTGTAACAAATCCCTTTGTATTTTTTTCTTATTACAAGCTTTTGTCTATATTCACCTGTCCACAAGTTTGTTTTTCTGTAATCAATTCTTGCAAGCTAAATTGTACCCGATTCCCAATCTCCATTAGTGCTGAAATTTGAAATATACCTTAATTTCTAATGACATTGCAATTGACGAAGTCGCGGGCAAAAGCTAATTTTTTAATATATATCTTAATGTAATACGGAATTAATATAGGATAACAATATATAGACTCAAACAGAATACTTGCTAAAAAAGGGATTATTATCAACAATAAGATAAAAATCCCGTTTTTAAGCATTCATTTTGAAATTGAGCATGTAAGCTTAAAACAGCATATTGGCTAGTGATAATACGATGTGACAGATAGCTCTAAAAATGGGTAAGATATTTATTTTGTTATTTACTTTTAGAATATATTCAGAGGTATATCATGCTAAGGCAAATTATAGCTTGAAGAATGAAGCTCAGTTCTCACCTATCAGGCATCCTAAAGATATTGAAGATTTCCTTGAAGCTTTCTACTCCGAAATCGATGTATCACCAAAAGATGTTGAGTACATCGAAGGGCATGGTTCAGGTAAATGATTATGACAATAATGATAAGTAACTATGAATATTTTGGTTGTTCTACCATACGGCTATTCCCTCTTTTTAATAACAGTCAATTGATATCAAAATTATTTTGAAAAAACGTATAATTTACTAAATTTCACTTTTCCGAAATATCCGTCCGGACCGAAACTACAATATAATTTTTATAGTTCATAGGTCAGAAATGTGATCCTTCAGAATATTTGTTTAGTAGATAATAATTTGTTTTTCGTCGATGTAAGCCAGGCATATTAGAAGTACCAGTACTCAAGAAAGTCTTTTGACCGGCAGCTATTTGGAATAAATAAATGAAAAGAAAAGGATATTTTTTCAACAGAGTCATTAACCATAGTTTAACAATATTATCGATAAATTGGAATTACATTAAAAAACACTTTTTAAAAAAAATGCTATTTTCAGCCAATGCTGAAGCAGATGGTAATGAATTGCAAGCCATTGGAAAAGTATTTGCAAAGGATAATAGTATCAAAGTGGGTAGCGTCGTATCTAATATGGGTCACAGTGAGCCTGCTTCGGGCGTTTGTGCCTTGACAAAGGTAAGATAATCCTATTTAATGAAATATGTTAACTTTACTATTTTAAATAGAGTCTACGTGGTTAAAAACGTCATATGCGAACTTTTTTATTTTTACAGATCGTTAGTAAAATCTTCGTAATATAAAAAATGCAAATTAAAATAAAAAATGCAAATTAATATTTTCTTAGACAGTTTTGTTTTTGATATTCTTTCAAATTATATATATATATATCACTAATAAGTTTTAACATGTTTTTTATATACCAGTTATGTCTGGCTTATCACAAAGGCGAGCTCCCTGCTAATCTTCACTACTCTCAACCCCAAGAGCATATTCCATCTGTCAAAGAGGGTAAAATCGAGGTACTGCAACAAAACGTCCCGTTCAAAAGAGGTTTTACAGCTTTGAATAGTTTCTCGTATTCCGGGGCAAATATACATGTTCTACTAAAAGGACATTATAAAAAGAAGGTAACTATGACAAAAACTTTATAGGATATTTCATTTTTCTTTTATCAACAACGTTTTATGTAAATTACTCATTTGTAATTTTATATACCAAATCATTGTATCATTATAGATATTAAAATTTCTGCATTTACTGAATTTGATGTCGGACTTGACTGTTCCTACATAAATGCGTTTCATTGTCATTAACAGTCAATCAAGCTAGTATCCATCTTAAAAAGTATAATTCTATCAATATTCCAATGCACATATGACCTATTTCGCTATCCTATTGGAGTTAAGTTCTGAATTACGATAAATATAAATATCATCTTATTATTTTAACTGGTTGAAAGGTGGTAAATTTTTCTTTGATTTGTTATCTTTTGCAAATATTTTAAGGATCCTGAAAGATACAAGACCAGCATACCTCGTATAGTACTAGCTTCTGGCAGACAAGAGGAATGTGTTATGAAAATTTTCAATATCTTAAAAAATCAATCAGTTGATCCCGAGCAAGTTGGGTTGCTACACAATATACACGAGAAAGATATACCTGGTCACATGTGTCGTGGTTACGTTGTGTTAGGTAAGAATGAATTTCGAATATTTATTATTTTCATTTTGATATCGTAATGAAGCCATTCGAGAGGCAAACCAGGAATTAAGATTCTGAAATCTAAGCAAACAAAGTCGTGGGTGAGAATTTGTAATTAATATTTAACTAGCACCCCACTCAATAATTACACAAGAAAAAAAGAGGAATAATAAAATTAATTACAATATGAATAAATTGTATACTATCCGATAACACGTTACTAATTTCCAATGTCCATTTTTATATTTATAGATACAAATGAAAAGAAAGAGACAGTGAGTCTATCTCAGAATACAGGCCATTACCCAGGTAGAGTACGCCCCATTTGGTTTGTGTACAGTGGCATGGGATCACAGTGGGCTACTATGGGGGCAGGTCTTATGAGAATTCCAATATTCGCAGCTGCAATAGAAAAGTAAGTGAATACATTTAATATTCAAATTCTGTATCGAATTATATAAGTATCCTCATATTTCTATAGATAGATAGTATATACTATATAGATCGATAGAAATACCAGGATTCTAATATCATTGAATACCCCGCAAACGATACGGCTTGAAGATATACCTATGTTATTTCTGTGATAATAGTAGTAAAACCTAAATTGAATAGCACAAAATTTTATATTTTCATTGTGACGGTTCTTACGTTAATGTTTACTTATTTATTTTCTGAGATAAGAAACAAAAGATGTCTTAGATTGCTCCGTTGCTAAATATACCTAAGGTTGACGAGTGTTTCCTGTGATTGTTTCAGTCAATTCGCCTACAGTTTTATTTTAAAAATAAACATGAATTCGCAGATAATAACAATTAAATTTCCAATTTTAATACAATATTTAAATGTGCAATTTCAAGAAGTTCTTCATATGTAATTTGTTCCGTCAACAATACTAAATCACAGGAATAATTGATATTGATATTGAGAAAGACAATTATATTATTTTTAAAATATTTTTTACAGATGCTGTCGTGTTTTGGAACCAAAAGGTATCGATCTAGTGAAAATTCTAACTGAACCTGATAATACCATTTACGACAACATCTTGCACTCATTCGTCGGTATTGCTGCTGTTCAAATTGGCCTCACTGATATCTTGAAGCAAATGGGCATTATTCCTGATAACATTATAGGTAATAAAATATATATATGTTACAATAAAACCCCTTGACTGTGACTTGGACCCTCAAGAGAGTTAAATAGCAGATATTCACATCTGACTTTCCGCTATATCCCGTAATAATTATCTTATATTTCAACAAGTAATAGAATTATATTTCAACTTATCTATCTCCAACATTGTAACAATCTGCGAATAAATTAAAATTGTTGATAGTTCACTTAAAATTGTTTTAGGGCATAGTGTTGGTGAATTGGGATGTGCTTATGCAGACGGCTGCTTTACTGCGGAAGAAATGATCTTATCTGCTTATAGCCGTGGCTTGGTCTCTATTCAAACACCATTTATTAAAGGATCTATGGCAGCTGTAGGACTAGGATATAAGTCGGTAAAAATATTTATGTGATTTTAAATTTATATTATCTTCACTCACATTCAATGAAATATTGACAACAATGATTTGATAATACTAAACTTATAAAATTGTGAAAGTGTTCTTAACTTAGGTTCTACCGATGTGTCCACCGGAGGTGGAAGTGGCTTGTCACAATAGTTCCGAGTCCTCTACCATATCGGGACCAGCTGATATAATGAAAGAGTTTGTGGGGGAACTAACTAAGCAAAGAGTGTTTGCAAAGGAAGTACCGTGTTCTAATATCGCTTACCACTCTAGATACATTGCAGATGCTGGTAAGTCAAGATTTACTTGGAAGAATAGACATCCTAAATATTATCATATTTTATCAATTTAGCATGCACTATGCTATATTGAAAAATATACTGAATGAATTTTTTTTACGCATTTTTCATTAAGAAATATCCTAAATATTTATATAGATCTGATGTATATTCAAATATTTAAGGCCCCGCTCTTATGAAATATTTAAGCAAAGTCATAACAGAACCAAAAGAAAGAAGCCCAAAATGGGTATCGACGTCAGTTCCACAAAACGAATGGGATACACCCAAGGCAAAACTTTCTTCGGCTGAATATCACACGAACAATTTACTGGTAAGATATTTACGAAAGCATTCGTTGTTTTTACGTATATATAAAAGCATTTATGATAACGACAAAATTACTGTTGAATATTTGCAGAATTCGGTTCTTTTTGAGGAAACATCTAAACTTATCCCAGAGGACGCTATAGTAATAGAAATTGCGCCCCATGGTCTTCTTCAAGCGATTATGAAGAGATCATTATCAGGATGCACACATATACCATTGACAAGAAAAGGTAATCAAGATCCAGTGAAATACTTACTGGAAGCCATTGGCAAGTGAGTTAAGCATAATTTTTACTACTAGTTTACTATTAATTATAATATTAATATATGGTACTATATTTACAATAGGAATTCAATATTTGTATTGTGAACACGAATTATTTAAATTTGTTCGCAGATTGTATGTCGCCGGTGTTAACCCGAAAGTTGATATCTTGTACCCTAAAATTGAATACCCCGTTTCAACCGAAACGTCGCTGCTTTCACACTTCGTTTATTGGGAACACAGCGAAAACTGGTATATTTAAATATACATATTTTAATACTGGGCTTTTTTTTTCTATAAGTGTTCTATTATATTTTTTTTTTCTGTTCTAATTTAGGCCAGAAGCTCGATTCAATACCAAAGAAAAAGTGGTTGCAACAAGTCGCGTTTTTGTAATGTCAATCCATGATGACGACTACAAATATTTGCAAGGTCACATAAGAGATGGTAATTTAAGACTCCTATATTAATCAACGAAGTTATTAGTTAAGAAGTTAAACTTTAAAACATTAATAAGATTTCGTAGCAGAAAAGAATATTTTCTGGCAAACACGTTATGCTTTTTCTTTATTGTATCTTTTTCGTTTTTCAAAAACATGCACAAGTATATCTTTTATGGCTACCATAACATTGTGAATGCATACTTTATCAAATATATAAATAATATATTTCTTGATTTTAGTAAAAATTACATTTCCACCAGTGGTGTCACCCGCGTGGTCCTGTTCCTTTATTGTTCAATTCAATTCAATTAATATGCCTTAAAATCCATTGTATAATTTTGAAAATCTCAGCGTACAGACACTGAGAAGTGAGACAAGTTTATTTAATACTATGTATAGATAAATAATATACTTAGTACAATTCGATATAGAATGAATGGATAGGAAGTTTTTATTCCTATCATTTTAATTTATCACTATTTTCATTTAAGGTGTCCACGTATTCCCAGAAGCAGCATTATTAGTGTTGGTTTGGGAAACTTTAGCTATGTATTTGAATGTAAACTACAGGGACCAACCAGTATCTATGAAAAATATTCAGTTCTATAGCGAAGCAATTATTGATACGGAGAAACCATTAAGGCTACACATTATGATTTATAAGGGAAATAATGCATTTGAGGTAAACTTTTATCCTTTTCATTAGTACTCAAAATATCTCTGGTATTTTTCTTTGTGTAGAATGTTGCTGATAGATCATGATTAATTTTAGGTGAGTTGTGAATCTGTTAAAATAGCTAGTGGCACTATTATACCTTTGAATAGTCAAGAGATAATTTTCCGCCCTCTAGAAGAGACGAAACCAACACCGACTGACATTTCACTAACCAGAACAGATTTTTATAAAATTATGGAACTAAGAGGATTCAGTTACAGGTAATGCTATAATTCTTTTTTTCTTTATATACTGTAATATAAAGAAATGTTTTCCTCGCATAGAGGGTTTAAGTAATTAATACCTATTAACTATGTTTGATATTTGAAGTCTATGTTAATAGGAAAACCATCGATGCATGTCGAAATTTTTGATCACATATACATTGACAAAATTTAAAGTATGTTACCCTGAACATTGGAGATTGGATAACCATCAGTGTGTATTTTTTTTTTTCAGAGACAAATTTCAGTCCATCCATACAGCTGACTCAAATCGATTGAGGGTTAATATTAAGTGGACAGATGATTGGATAATATTATTGGACGGTCTTATACAGTTTAATTTATTCCAAAAAGATCATGAAGGAGTCTCGATTCCAAAAATAATACGTAAATTAACGATTGACCCTTCTAAACATGTAATTGACCAGACATCGGATGAAGCCACACAGAAAGCGGAGATTTATGAGTTTTATAATTTAACAAGGTAACTTCTTGTAATTTTTGAAAGAGAGAAGAAACAATTGACGTTTAAAGATTATGATTATAGTTATGTATTTATGTATTTGGTTATATGTAGATGCGATGGAGTAGAAATGGAACAAATTGAGTTTCTCAACATGCCAGTAAAAGAAAAACATCCAGATGTTTTAATGACTCAAACATTCATTCCGCATTTCTTAACAGGTATATTAAAAGTAAGTAACGGACTTCATAACAGTTGTAGAATATATAAAGTTACAAATAATCGATTTAATGATAAAGATAACGTTTTACTTTTTAGCTTGACGTGGCTCTTCAAATAAATATGCAAATTGTAGCTGAAAATACGCCAACTAATAAACTGAGTGTATTAAACATGCTGACAGAGCAATCTTATTTTGTAACCAAGGCTTTAGATGAGGCAGCTAAAAATAATGTATTATTTGATGTCATAGTTGATAAAATCAAACCAGAAACGATACAACTTAACACACTTTTGGCTAAAGAACAAGTACTTAAAAATTCCAATGTGTTCATTGTTGACAATTTACTTGGTGATGAAAAGGTAAAAAAAATATCTACTTCATATACTGGAAGGAGAAATTGAATAAATAAACTGTCAACTCTTATATTTAAATATTTTTCAGAAAATAAACTTCATACATAGTATTTTACCGAAAAATACATTTATATTGGCTTTGGAGGAAGAAAGTTTAAAAATTCATCCAAAGTATCCACAGTTTTATGTTATCAGTGCAATGACAGTTACAAGAAAGAACTTAATTTTGCTTAAGAAAATTGATGATAGCCAAGATGTAAATGTAACATATATACCAATAACGCACGATAAGAAATTTTCTTGGGTACCAAGAGTTCAAAGCGAGTTACTTAAAACACGAAGAATTGTTTTGGTCTCCGAAAAGCAGCCATATTGCGGGTTATTAGGTTGGTTCGAAGGATTGTTATATATGATTTGAGACAAAACAATATTTTGAAAAAGTTTTCCTATCAAGATGAACTTTTTTAACAACAAGAGTATTGACAAATCTAAATACTAAACAAATAAAAAGCAACATATAGTGATAATTTTATTATTTATGTTCTTTTAGGTTTGGTTAGAAAGTTGAGGGTTGAATTTGGAAATAAGATTGGTCTAGTTGCCATTGATGATTATCATGCGCCATCCTTCCACCCCGATAATAAAATATATAAAGAACGAATGCAAAATAATTTAACATTCAATATTTTAAGAAAGGTATGGATTTGGAATATTATAAAACAAATTTATCCCATAATAATTTCAACTATCTTCTCAATAAAAATCATAAGAACTTCACTACCTTTCCAATTATTTATTTATTGTCAATTTAATTGTGATCAATAAAATCCGAAAGCTAAATTTAGTCGAAGTATAAATTTGTTTTATGGAATATGGATTTTTTTTAGGGCCAATGGGGAGGATATTATTACTTACCAAGCGAAACATCGTTAAAGCTTCAAAATGCAACTCTAAATACTGTAATTCCTGGTAATTTAGATTCTTTAACCTGGGTGGAAATGCCCCCTTCACTGCCAAGTGGTAACTTAGTTAAGGTGAGATTCTACTACATTTATTTATCAATCCTAAACAAAATATGAAATTGATTATACTTGTTATATTTATTTTTGTTTCAAATGTTGCATTTATTTTTAAGGTCAATTATTCAGCATTATCTCTGAAAGATGTCAAAAAAGCACTAGGTCAGTCTATTGAAGACAACAGGAGTTTTGGAATGGATTTTAGTGGAATCAATAACAAGTAAGATTAACCAGGATTCGGGAATGATTGCCATATTTATGATACTTCCGAATATGCAAAATATTATTGCTGAGTAATATTTTTTATTACAGGGGGGAAAGAGTAATGGGAATAACGCCAAATGGAGCTATATCTTGTACCGTTGAAGCTGATCCTAATTTAACGTGGCTTGTACCTAAACATTGGACACTTGAAGATGCTGCTACAGTTCCATTACCATATATACACGCCTTTTACTGTCTTGTAAGAAAATTCATCTCCTTGTTTTTTTTATTTCAGTTGCACATATGCTGCATCTCTTTTGATTATTTTTCTTTCATCTATTTATTTAATTTTAGATTGTCAGAAACCGTATTCATCCCAATATAAAAAATAAAAGAATATTCATTAACGGTGGAGCAGGTGCATTAGGACAAGCAGTCATATCAATATGTCTTGCGGCAAATTGTACAATATTTACTTGCGTGAGCGATTTAAGGAAGAAAATGTTTCTGATGAAGTTGTTCCCTGATTTAAAAGGTAAGTTAAACGGTAAATTGTTAAGATATAACTGATGTGAATATGAAGCTCAAGAAGTAAAAGGAAAATCGTTAAACATCTATGGTTACGTAGTAGCAATCTTTGTTAAATAAGCAGCTTTTCTTTTAGTCATCGGAATCTGCTTCAATACATAGTATTCAACAAAACTTTCCGTCTATCTTTCCTTATATATGCTTAGATCTTTAGAATTTCGCAGCGGATTTTGATGCGGTTTTTAATTTACTGTGTAATTCAAAAGAAAGATTTCTTTGTACAATATAAGACCACGCGGGTGAAACCGCTGGCATAAAGCATTATATTATATTGCTATTTTTTTTTTAACTTTATGGTTACAAGAACAGATTAGTAAATTATTTTGTTGATTTATTTGAACTATTTAAATATTTTTGAGCGATTTATTAATAAGAGCAACAGATAATAAATATTGTACATAGCTTTTGTTATTCATATTACTAGTAAATAAAACAAATATTGTTTAATTTCGTTAAAAATACTTAAATTGTAGATAAAAACATCGGTTACTCTAGAGATGGATCGTTCCAAGATATGGTGCAAGTCAATACTGAAGGAAAAGGATGTGATTATGTAATCAATTGTGCAACTGGCGTACTGCGTCAGGTAAGTAATATGTATATTCCAAATATTTAACAACTTTATTTTATTATATTAACATATAAAGATCAATACTATTTCAAATAAATATAGTTACAAAGACTACATACACAGAAACATTGTAATTAATGAACAAATTTTAACATTGATTCGTTATTGTAAATTATAGTTAAATTTACCCTTTCTGCTTAACGTGAGAACATTAGAGATAAAAAAGAAGCAAGATGGCTATTAATACGTCAGTACTCTGAGATTGATGATCGATTTATTTCAACATACCTATAGTTTCTTTAGCTTATCTATTAAATAAATTGTAAATTTAAATAATGAAAAAAAAAATGCTTCGTCGACCATTTTATTTCATTTTAATTAACTACGTATAGAATGCTTTGCTTACTAAAACCATTACATATTGTTTTTAAGGCTGCAATGAAATGTGCTGGTAAAGATGCCACATTCATTGACGTCAATGATTACGACTCGAAACAAAATAGTGACTTCGGTATGTTCTTTTTGGCCGGCGAAAAGAACTACTTGAATTTAAGGCTATCGGAAATATTCAAGCCGGAGAACAATTTAGAAAGAGAGGTAAGTCCATAAAGTCTGGTTATAGAACTTCGTTCGCCCGTTTCCATTATGCTAAGGCATGTGAATCCAACAAAAAGAAGATACACGGTAGCAATCCCGCGAAAAACTATTATTCTATTTGCTATGTGTTTCAAAGTTTTAGACTCCATAATTGCCAGAAATGGAAAGAGGATAGTCAAACTTCAAAATACAAAACTAACTTTACTTTAAACAAAAAAAAGATGTTACTTTTAATTAAAATAGATGTTAAAATAATAGATGACTAATAATTTGTCTTATTTGCTCCAGAAAGGTACCCCTTTACGTTACATATCCATCTTTATGTCACCGACTTACATATGTGTACTAACAACTCAATCACTCAAGTGCTTTCGCAGCAAATTAGCTATGACAAATGGACGGGCAAATTAACAAACAGGCTGGCAATCAAATTATCCTATGAAGGTCCCGCTTTTCCCTTTAAGGTACGGAACATTGTATTTAATGTCAGGTTTGTGTTAATATTTTCAGAAATTGCAATTATTGCTAACTGAAGGTATTAAGTCAGGAGCAGTAAGGCCACTCAGTCGTGTTGTCTATGAACCAAATGAGGTTACAAGAGCATTCAGATTGTTGTCTTCGAGCAAGCAGAGGGGCAGAGTAGTAATAAAGTTGACAGACGCTTGTGAAACATTCAATCATGGATTTAACGTTGTACCAAGGTATATTTATTATATAGATAGTTCTAAAACATTAAGTTCGCTGAAAGTGGATGAGGTGTAAGATGTGTGGGACCGCACGTTGTGGCGTTCGGTCCTCTCTGCCTACCCAACCAGAGATGCGGCGTGAATATATAGAGAGAAGTTTGCTGAATAAAAATAAAAAATATATATTTTCTGTATTCTCTTTGATTTCAATAAAATGAGGGTTTAAGATTAGTAACTCACACTTAAGGAAAATTTAAAATGGTTTTTTATAGAACTAATTCCTTTTATAAGCATATCAATTTACAATATTGTTTATGGTAGAATAATAAGAAACATATTTTGCAGGATGTCGTTTGCGGAAAATGGAACTTACGTTGTTGTTTGTGATGAAAAAGGCCACGCTATTGAATTGATTGACCGTCTTATACATAGGGGTGCAAGAAATTTTGTTGTCAGCATGAAACCAAATACGATCGGAGGATACTTTTATGCTAAATCTGAGTTAGTATTCGTTATATATGAATGTTAATTTCAATTTATGTCTCTCATTTCGCTCTCTTTAACGAAGATTATTTTAAAATATTCTTAAAGTTTTTAGTCTGTATAAAAGATTTAACTATATATGTATTTGGAACGTATATATATCCCTGTTTCCTTTAGACATGTCATGTATAAGTCATTTGTGACATGTTAAAGATTAACCTGCCTCAGATCTCTGACTGTCCAGAGTATAGGCAATAGTAAATTTTCGTATATTTTTTTTTATGTTGACAGTAATTTAATAGAAAATTAACTATTTCTGAATTTGAAAAGAAATGTATATTTTACATAACAGTATTTGTAAAATATTATGATGATAATACTATTCAAAATTTGCAAGTTATTCTGAAGTACTGTTAGGTAGTTTGTGTATGAATTTACATGTCCTCAAAAGTTTTATTTAAATGGTTCATAACTTTGATATTTTTAATAATAAATATTTGGTAGATACAAAAATAATATATTAGAAGAAATATTCTGCATTTCCAAATAAATTTCATCATCTTTACCCCTTTTATGTCCTCACTACAAGGGTTCAGCCCTTACTTATGGAGCATCATAACACTCCATGCTGGCGCAATATGAATTAGATGGTGTTAACAACTGCAAATACAGCTGAGGACGACGAAACGTTCCGAGGCACGGAGAAGCTCTGGGTAATAATTTTTGGTCAACCATCGTGCTTGACCAAAAAACTGAAAGTCGCTTCGCAACAACGACTGCGGGCTTATTACGGCAACATTACCGAACTACCATGTAAACCAAATAAACTTATTTTCATATAAGAAGTCTTAAAATTAACATTTTCATTTTAAAGATCATGGAAGAAATTTGGCGTTTCACTGAAAATTTATACAGAAAATCTTCACTCCGAAAAAAGCACCGTACAGCTTTTGAATGAAGCCTCAAAATTGGGACCTATTCATGGAATTTTCTTCGTTCAAAATTTAGACGATGCTACGGAGAATTTTGATCCAGTTGCTGTATTTAAAAAGTTCACAGACACTGCAATGGTTGTCGCTAATTTAGACCTTATGTCTAGAAATATCTGTACTGAATTAAAGTAAGTGAATTCGATAAAATTGTTTTTTTTGGACTAAGCTTAATAGAATAGTATTGTACTTATTTCTATTTTACTTTGTATAATATTTTAAATAGATCTGTAAAGTCAATATGATTTCATTATTAATTCCGAAACCCCGGTTTGCAATTGAAACAAAAAACTACTAATTAGGTACAAAAATAGTTGTATATCACTTATTTATTAATAACGTTTCAATGTTAATTTCCAACAAACATATATTAGACCGAGATAAATCCAAGTATTAATTTATTTTATGTTTTATTTCGCACCCATGCTGGTTAAACTTGTTAACAGTCAATTTAAAAGAAAATGTTAAATGCACCATTCGATTTGATAACCGAACATCTACTGGTAAACTCCAATTTGTTTTGTCAAAATTCTCGGTTAACAGGTTTTACCAGCATAGGTGCGATTTATAACTATTGCAGTAAATTTATTATTTCTCCTACTGTCGGTCTTATTGCTGTGATTTGTATTACATCTTTATCGTTTGCAGATACTTCGTAGTTCTCACTGGTTCATCAGAGAAAGTAACTGACGAGTATGCCGCTTCTGTATCTGAGAAAATCTGTCTCATTCGAAGCGAGGTTGGGTTACCGGCCTTAGCATTCAGAATAGGAAAGCTTAATGAGGTACTGTAATATGAGTATATAGAAACGCAATTTTTACCATGACTACTTAAATAGCGTCGTGCTACATGAGAACATAACATGAAATAACTTATTTTCTGCTAAATATAGAACCTATTTCAAAGTTTTAAAAAGGAGAAATATTACTTAAAAGCGACTTACTTATTCAAGAAACTACTGCTGCAGTCGAGCGGAGATTTTCTATAGGTATCTCATTAGGTACTGTAATATGAGTATATAGAAACGCAATTTTTTTCCACAACTATGTACTTTAATAGCGTCGTTCTACATGAGAACATAACATGAAATAATTTATTTTCTGCTAAATATAGAACCTATTTCAAAGTTTTAAAAAGAGAAATATTACTTATCATTAAAGCGACTTACTTATTCAAGAAACTGCTGCTGCAGTCGAGCGGAGATTTTCCGTAGGTTATAAATTAAATAATATTTTAACCTCCTCCTATTCCACTTTGAAGTCAGTTTGCATTTTTTTAAAATAAATAAATATCTGTGATACTAAATAGAATACATTATTTTATGATATACCTATGTCAGAAAAAAAAGATATGTAACATATTCTTAATTAAAAAATGCTTGAAAATCCACTTTGTCCCTGGCATACTGCGATGGGACACGAACCCAGGACCTAACAGGACTTGCGAATTTTTCAAGCACTTGTTCCTTTTTCGCTACTACAGAGCGTATTTTCAATAGTTCAGTCTTCCCAAACATTTCATCTCCTATCCAGAAATAAAGTGGATTTTTTAATGCATTTTTAAGTATAGTATTGTAAATTCTAAATTGATCAAATATAATAATGTTGTAACATTATAATAAGGTTTAAAAATAGGAATGATGACTAAAAAGGTTTATATCCATGTATGTAATATTATCCTTTTATCTGATTGATGAACTAATTTTTTTGTTTTACCCAGGCATCATCACTGTTGAAGTCGGTTAGTGAGCATGATTTCATAGACGAGATTTTTTGTTTCCTTTAAACTATTTCGTATTTATTTCAGATTACAGCACCACTCAGCTGTGTAGCTGAAGCGGATTTCCAATCGAACTCCCAGCTCCTATCATATTCAGCTATTTTCAACGCTCTGGAGACGAGCTTAAAACTTAATTATAAAAATGTCCAAGCGTTCAATCTCAAGAAGCGACCTGATTCCGACTTCTTAGGGAAAATAGAAAAAATACTCGGTGAGTATTTTAAAGCTGCTTTTATAGCGTAAAAGGAAACTAACTTGCATTTGCTTCTTTTTTCAATTTGTCTTGAGTTACAGTTTTTCGATAAAATAAAGCTCTACGTCTTTGATCTTTTCGGGAAACGCAGCATTCCATTAAACTCTAATTGATGGCTGGATTTTTTATTTATTTGTTTGTCTGACTGTCTATCTGTTTTCCTGTTTATTCATTTTTCTATGCGTAAGTATATATAAAAATATATACAGAATATATTAGTAGAAGATCCGAACCTAAATCGACCTTCACCGGGTTGATAATGGAATAAAACTTATTGTATAATTAATTTAGTATATTAGAAAATATATTAAAAATGGGTTGCCTAAAAAAATCCTGGACAGAATATTTTAAATTATTTTTAAAAAAATATTTTTTTATTAAATGTTGCAACATCAAGATAATAAGAAAAATTTAATTCTGACTTAAAGTATAAAACATATAGAATGTGCAGACGTTGGGTTGTCTATTATTTACCTGGACGAACTACTGGGTTGTCAGGTATAAACAGGTATATCGATGCCAGTTAATTTCACTTGATTTGATAATAAAAAAAAAATTATATCAACATAAGCGCTGTTTTATTACGAACACATTAATATAGGGTTGTCTGCAAAAAAATTCGGTCCAATTACGGGTTTGCGAATTTTAAAAATTAAAATTTTAACGCGTGATGTTTATTTTGTTAACTAGACAACCTAATGTTAGATAATAAATACTTAATGATTCAATAACTAACTCAAAATAAAAATAATAAAAGAAATAAGTGTTTCTCAACAATATTCTGTTTTTGACAGGCATAAGCAACATAAATAGCATTCCGGAGAACTTAACTTTAGAAGATTTAAGCGCAAATGATTATAATATAGAAGAAATAATTATTGTTATCAAAAATGAATTCAAGTTAAATTATCCCCTTGAAAAAGCGAAGAAAATAACAATTGGAGAGTAAGTTTAAGGTTTTTCAGATATTCTTCTAAGGTATTATAATATATTATTTTTTATTCCAGTCTATATCACTATATATGTAAGTACATGGAGAAAGGCAATGAATAGCGCATTCAGCTAGATTTAAGATATTTTAGTTTGTTGATTATGAATTAATAATATTCATTTATTTGGTTGGATGTGCTTTTATTGTCAGTAAAACAATGAAATTATATTATGCGTCAACTTCATGAAATAGTTAACCGTAGACTGAAAACTTAGAGAATCTCTTTGTAAACAACATTAGTTGTTTTTCGTTCAGGGGCCAATATAAACAAACCCGCAGTACTACTGACTCGCAACAAATCTACCTACAGCTATTCGCGGGCAGAACAACCAGTCTTTTTATTCACACCAACACTTTGAGCATCTATCCCTATGACTTATTTATAGCCATGGCGAAGTAACTAGTCACAGGCAACTGTGTTCGCTTGAATTCGGGCAGAAAATATTTGGGGATAAGTGATGCCACAGCCGGTCAAAAAACCCTGTTAGTATTCCTCTGTAAAGCCATAATCATAAGCTGGGTTTCATTGCATAAAATATTTGTAAAATATCGCAAAGTTGGATTCTCATATTGATATTTAGTTAAAATATTTGTAAACGTAGACAGTGGTATAAATTCATAAATGAAGCATTAATAACATTTGCTCTTGTTCCTTAATTTATAATGGTAAGAGTTTGAAAAATATCTTCTGGATAGAGACTTGTGACGTGATCTATTAGCCGATCATCTCGGCGAACACCTGATAAGATTCTGTCCACAATTTTAAGAGTTTTTTTGTTGCACGTGGTACATTCGTCCAAAACAATAAGACACCAATCCTGTAAATCCGAGATCTAGGGATTATTCACGACAGCAACCCGACATATGAAAAATGCATTGATTGTATCATTAAAAAAGCTTACCAATCGTTAGGTTTTATTATCAGATCATGTGCTCAGTTTACCAGTATAAAAATTGCTAAAATACTATACTGTTCATACGTGTGTAGCAACCTTGAGTACTGTTCGCAGATATGGAACCCACAATATGAAATTTATATTGATAGGCTAGAAACAATACAACGGAAGTTTCTTAAATACTTACAGTACAGGTGCAGAGGTTATGAAACGGATTACGACGCGAGGTCTAGGAAACATCATATATTACCTCTCGTGAAGAGACGGAAAACTATCGATATAGTTATGTTAATGAAATGATCACAATCTCTAATAAATTTTAGAGTTCCAACAAAAGGTACAAGACACCAAAACAGTCTCAGTGTCCTATTTTGTAACACAAATTATAGGAAAACCTAATTTTTTGTACGCTCAGCAATAAGTTTTAATAATTTGTTGGATTCCACGCTTGATATTTTCAATAGTAAACCGTTTAATTTCAGACAACGTTTGAGTATTGAATGGTTTGATCTGATTCCTTAGCTAAAGGTAGTCTTTGTTTTTCCTTGTTTGTTCCTTATTTTAATGTAAATAAGTACATAAGTGTCTATATGCGGAAACTTTTTTCACAATTTCGCGTTATAGAACAGGTTGGTGTTGCAGTTCTGTCTAAATCAATTAGGGTTTTGATCATAACTGGGACCGGGACTTACTACCGGGAAGCAATTTAGCAGCAATCCCTGAAGATGCTACTGCGAGACCGATCTTATTCTGTCGCCTTATTTTAAATCAGGATTGCTCTTGTAATATATATTTGTTAAGTGCCACTCAAGGCATCTTTAAAAAAAACTTTACTAACATCATTAGAGACGATGTTGACAACTTTGTTATATTATTAGTAAAATTTGTAAAAAAATCAATCGATTGATATTCGCGGTTGATTTGATTCTAGTTGGGGTATAGGTAGACCATAATCACCGAAATATTAGTCAACAATCGCAAAAACAATTTATTTAATAGAACAGAGGGAACTATTTAATACTCTATTGGCGGTTGGAGTGATTGAATCCTGTGCATTCTTTCTTAGGTTTCGTAAACTGTCTTCAGATATATTTTTTATACATTTCCCATATTCATAAGGGATCTGTAAGACCACAAAATATAATATTATTGCGAACATGACAAGCGAAGATAATGACGTAAGGAACGAAAACTATGGCTAACCATGCTTCTTTAGGAGTGTTGTCCTAGCGTGGTCATTGTTAAGAAAATGAAGAGCCATGCAATTTGCTTGAAATATGTAAAAGTAAAGTAAGTTGGTCCTCAAAATATTAGTGCGCAAAAACTAAAATTCTCCATTATTGTAATAACCTGTATATTCTACCTAGAGAGGTAAAGTGAATTATATAAAAGCTTATAATATGATGGCGTTAAAGTCAGCAGTGAATGCTCATCAGACTGAACGACTTTCGCTAATACGTCATTCCTTTAAATGTTTTAGTGATACTGAGCAAGTGCAAGTGCTGATTTGAACAATCAAATCAGAAATTTAATAGCGCAACAAAAATACTCACTCTATTTTTATTATAGTATAGATAATATTTATTATTAATTTGTAAGATTTTTGTTATAATTCTTATTCATTCATACATTTAGTACTTTGCCTGATATCGAAAGGTCGTTGGAGTCTAGAGATATCTGAGGCAGTTGTATTAAAATATTTTTAAGATAAAATAATGGAAGCTGCTCATGGGATCTATATAAGTGGCTGACAATTTTTTTTTTCTTTCTGTCTTCAGGCTTTTGAAACTTAAAGATCATAATATAGAGAAGAACAAATTCAAAAGCGGCTTGGGTGCCTTCTTTACATTTATAGATAATGATGAATGCTTAGCCACGGAACCTATGATTACGATGCAGACCAAGGTCTTAAGCGCTGTTGAGGTTAGTCTAAAAAAATCTTTGTGATTTCAATAAGTCAAAATATTATAACAACAAAAGTTTTAAGTAGCCATCGGTTTACTCATAAAGATATATATTCACACATACTGTTAGTTCGGTTTTTTTTGTTGTTCTAGAAGAATCGATAAATAAAGCGCTACACTACATAATGTGAATTGCTAGCAATAGAAAAAGATATTGGTATGACGGGCTCGATGGCGCGGTAGCGTTCCTACTATTGCTCCGAGAGTGGTGGGTTCGATCCCCACCCAGGACAAACATTTTTGTGATTAACTATTATGTCTGTTCTGTGTCTGGGTGTTTTCTATTTATATTATGTATATATTTGTAATCCCCCCGTTGTTTCTGATATCCTTAACAAAAGTGCCTAAGCTACATACTTCGGAATCAGATCAACGTGTGTTATGTTGTTCGATATTTAGAAAAAAAAAAATATTCAGAGGCAGGCCTGAGTTGAAGATTGTTTTATCGTTAGTACATTTTTATTGTACTAATGAAACCTAAAACAAAATAATTACTAAAATAATACGTTAATTTTGTTTTAAAATTGTTAAATTTAGTTAAGCTGGAACTGATTATTTGCTTAACCGAACACTTTAACATGTTTGTTAATGTAAGTCGGTGCAAAGCTGAAACTTGTCCAAATTTCTTCAAAATATTATTATTAAGATATACAGTCCATATTTTGATTATAAAATCAAATAGGTATACTTAATCAAATTAAAATTTTGACATTGACACTAAAAATCACCTATTCGTTTTAAATAGAGAGAAGAAGAATTCGACAAACAAGCGGAATATTTAATGCTGATACCAGGTTTTGAGGGTCATTATCAGATCTTCAAATCTGTTTGCGAAAGACTGAAGATACAGGCTGTTGCTTTCCAGCTGGGGCCAGATCTGGCCAATGATACCATACAAGAGATGGCTAATAACATATTAAAAGTACGTAACAAATATTTTTTCACATATACAATCATTATATATATACATATATCTCATCATCATCATCATCAGCCCTTTTACGTCCCCACTGCAGGGGCTCAGGCCTTCCTTATGGATGGTTAAGGAGGATGGGCCATGACCCTCCACGCTGGCCCAATGCGGATTGGAGGGTATTAACGACTGCAAATGCAGCCGGGACCAACGGCTTAACGTGCCTTCCGAAGCACGGAGTAGCTCGAGATAATAATTTTTTGGTCACCCATCCGGTGACCGACCCTTGCGAAAGTTGCTTAACGACTACGATCGCGGGCCGCCGCGCTTATCCACTACGTTTAAAGTGAACGTCCACATATCAACACACGCGCACCGGCCGCACAACACGCAATGGATTCTATTAATAATTACGTCATCAGCATAATTCCGACGTAAGCATTAAACTGATAGTCGCACTTTTTAAGGAAGCGTCTATGAAAAATGAGACTTCAGTGGATGTATGATATCGACGAATCCGTGCTATGCCGTTGCGTGTGTTACGGCTGGTGCGTGCGTGCTGAGGCAGAGAACGAGCACCTTTACGTGCACCCGATGTCAACCTATATTGTCAGTTACTAAGAAATTATTAATAAATAGGAAAAACAAAGTCTGTCTGTGCACAGAGATCTTTTTACACAACGAATTTACAATAACACAGAGGTTCAAACAAATATAACCTACTTCAAATGTAATATAGGTTTTATTTTATTGAAGCTCTATGCTATGACAGCGAAGCACACAATGACGAGTTCGAGGCTGTTTTTTTACATAATTATATAGATGGATATCATTCTCGCCTTAAACAACTAACGATGTATATTTACATTGATAGATATTAATAATGATTGAAACTTTTGTAAATAAACCGTTTCTTTTAGTTCATGAAAAAGCAGATTGCGCTGAAACAAAAGTTTTGTCTTCTCGGCTACTCTTTCGGAGTTAACGTCGCTTTAGAATTAGCTTACTTATTGGAAAAAGAAGGTAATTGTTTGTTATTAGTAAAAATTACACTATTTTTATAATTATTTCGGATTTTAATAATAGAAATCAAATTTTATATTTGATCAATTTCGCATTCACAATGCTATACTGAAATATATTTTTAATACAAATTGCTTAAAAAATCCTCTCAGCCCTGGCACCGTGAGATGGGATTCGAACTCACAGCATTTGTATTAAGAATAGAAATCAAATGTTGTTTGAAACATAAACTATATATTTTTTCTTCAATTTCTCTTTGGAAGCTCCTAAATTATTTTCTTTCATATTTTTAGGTCACGTTGGAAAAGTTTTCTGTTTGGATAGCAGTCCCGATTCGTTACCAGTCCAGTTGAATGCCTACGTAGGAAATTTATCAGAAACACAGTTGCAAAATGCTATTATCGAACATATGTACAAACTGATGACAGGCAAAGAGAGTCTTGAACTGAAAGAAGATTTAGAGAAACAAGAAGACTGGTCGGTGAAAGTTGACACCTGTGTAAACAGATTGAGAGGCTTGGTTAATTACTCTCATCAATATAAAAAGTATTTACTCGATGCTGCCTATAACAAAATATCATTAGCAAGAGAGTATGAACCTAACTTCAAGTTGAAATCTGAGTTGATCCTTATCAAAGGTACATTACATCCCAATGCTACCAAACTAGAAGACGATTACGGTCTTTCTAAATATACCAATCAAGTTGTTAAAGTATTTAACATAGAAGCTGATCATGCTTTAGCACCTCATGATAGCAGAGTTTCCAATATTGTAAACAGATTTCTCGATCCAAACATTCTAGAAGAATTCCAAAAGAAGAGACTCTGCGAATTCTACTTTGCTGATCCATTCAAGATCCTATAGGTAGGTAGGAAGATATAGTTACTAAGTTTTAAAATACGGCCACTTATTTATAACTTTAATAAAACTTTTGGATGTATAATTTGTTTCATTTGGCATATAATTAATATTTGTAAGGTAGAAAGTATGAGCAAAAAATTGAAAACATAATTACATGTTTTTTTAGACAGAAGCTAAAAAGCATTATGCTTAGATTACTACATTGTTATATACATGGGAAGATTTATTACAGAGCCTACTTAGCGTTTCTTTTATTCAGTTTAAAATTCTTGGACTATGACTTATAGTGGCATTTTTTTACCCGACTACGGCGAAACGAAAAGGAGTATTATGATTTTGGCTGGTATGTATGTAAGAATGTTCATCTGTTCCCTCACAACTTCAAAACTGCTCATCGTAACTGGACAAATGAGGTATCATTAGAAGCGTCATAGTCATCCTCGTGCTATAGACTATGTTACGTTACATAAATTGGCAGCAGCGCCCTCTAGACAGCATAAAGTGATAAACTAAAAAAAGATTATTATATACTTATTACCTATGTTCTGTGCTTATTACTTAATCATTCCGTGTAGGGTATCAAATGAACGAGCTTCATTATAAAATTTAAGGCTTATGCTTGCGATTTTGTTTATACAGCGGAAAATAATTAAAAATTAAAAACTCCAAAAACTACTGGACTGACGAATTTAGCAAGCACGTGTTACTTTTTCAAATTTCTAGTTTCAAACTTTTTAAAGCGTGATTTAGCTGTTGTCGGGTTTAAGTTTTGAATTTATTACTACATTTATTTGATATTCTTAATGGTTGAATTAGCGAGTATTGTTTTTTTTTTACCTTTTTTGTATACTCTATTCAAACGCAAACAAATAATTGTAATATTTCAAATTTGGAGCAGACATGAAGATATTTGCGGTTATAGATGCAGCCAAGATCAACAGCTTAACGTGTGTCCCCAAGTAAGGAGAACACCCGGAAAATTTTATGATCACCTTTATAGGTGTAAGTTGCTAAGCGTCATTTATTGCTTACTCGTTCAGACAGGTGACCATGTATAGTAACTGTACCAATGTCACAAAATATAAAGCTAGAAACTAAAAATTGTTATTTAAAATTCCACCGTGAGTAAATGTTGGTGTCGGCCATTTATCAACGGATTAGGTAAATGGTTTGAGAGACTAGCACACGCGCTTCCGCTTCGGTTAAAGAATGTTTGTGGTTATTGGAAAAAATATTAATGTCCTTTACAAAGCCATTTTATTGTATTTGATTTTACCTGAATATGCTAAAATGTTACTGATGAGTTCTAATGCTTATGTTCAGAATGTTCGGTATAATTTGGTGGCGAGATTAAATATCAAATCGAATCACCCTTTTACCTCGACGAAGTCGTTAAAGTGGACCTTTGAGTTGGTTTTCAAGTTGCTCTTTATCTAGGCATCGGTCAAGTAAAACTGAGTAAAACAGTTGCCAAATGTGATTTGTTATATAAATTGAAAACGATAATAAAGCCAGGTCATGTCTTATTTTAAGGGGTAAGATAAGTATATTAATATCCCTGTTTTCATTAATTATAGTTGTTTTATTTTCATCAAGTAGTCATTTAATCATTGGATAATGATGATGATGAGTAGCTCGGTGACGTAGAGAATAAGCGACGCGGCCCAAGATCGTTGTTCGTTAAGCAACTTTTACAAGGGTCGGTCACGGGATGAATGAATGAATGAAAATACTTTATTGCCCATTAACACATAAACATGAAAACAATTATTATTAGAAACATCGATGCAAAAGGCAGCCTTATTGCTAAGGTAGCAATCTCTACCAGGCTACCCTTGACCAAAAGAAGCTATACCGATTGAGTAAAGAGACAGCGGGCAAGTGTATGAAAGAAAGATGAATGTGAAAATACATAAAAGTAAATACATATACTCTTATAATAATATATATATATACACAAAACAATACAAAACAGAATACAATTTCAGGATGATGAATCCAGCTTGAGGAAATGTTCCTTGACATATTTAACAAAGGACTCTCGTGATTGTGCGCGTCTGATATTTACCGGCAGTGAGTTCCATAGTTTGATAGCTCTAATATAAAACGACTTGGCTACAAAATCAGTTCTATGAGGAGGGATCACCAAGGAAAGGTTATAGGAAGACCTCAAATCTCGGAGAGAATTAGAAGAGTGAAAAACGAAGCGATCTTTAAGATATTGCGGTGTTTAAGGATTAAAAAGAATAGAATAAAGAAGGGATAGGATGTGACAGTCTTTTCTACGAGAGATAGGTAGTCATTGAAGTAGGGAACAATAATCAGAGATATGGTCGTACTTGCGTAGACCAAAGATGAAACGGATACATAAATTCTGAAGACGCTCAAGCTTATTTAGATGTATGACATTTAGGTCAGAATAACAGGAATCAGCATAGTTAAGCAGTGGGAGAAGCAGGGATTACGCAAGAGTGATTTTTGTCTTAGTCGGCAATAAATTCTTGAGTCGTTTGAGCGAGCTATATGCACCAAACACTTTTCTACTAACCTCAAGATCGTGATGGCTCTACGAAAAATTGCAGTCGAAAAACACACCAAGATTTTTAACGCTGTCTTTAAATGGTATACGATCGCCATTCAAGAGGATAGGTGGCAGCGTATTATGATTTACGATTTTCCATACCCTCGCGTATGTCATCTGCAATCTTGACAAGTGCAGTAGTCGTACTATGACCGGGACGGAAACCAGATTGAAATGGATTGAGCAGGTTGTTCAAAAAAAGGAATCTACTAAATTGTAGATGAACCAGTTTATCAAGGACTTTGAGTAGGAAGGGCAATATGGAAATAGGACGATAATCTGAAAAGGAATCAGGCTTAAGCTTTTTAGCTACAGGAACAACATTAGCGTCCTTCCATGCAGAAGGGTAAAGAGATGAGGAAATAGATTTATTCACGATTTTGGTAATTACAGGAGAAAGGATATCTAGGAGAGGAACAATTATATTACGACTAATGCAATCGCTACCAATCGCATTAGACGAAATCGCAAGTATATTCTTCTCAACGTCACACTCAGTGAATTGTTTAATAACAAAAGGATAAAAAGATGGTTTTGGCGGCGAAGAAAGAGTACTTAGAGTTTGATTTTTGATGTTTCCATCTAAGGAAACAGACGAGCAGAAGTGACTATTTAAGGTATTAATATCAGTATTTGACGAGAGGAAGGAGTTGTCTTTAGATTTGCCAATACCAAGATGGGTGGGGATGGGTGACCATAAAATTATTATCTCGAGCTACTTCGTGCTTCGGAAGGCACGTTAAGCCCATCCTCCTTAACCATCCATAAGGAAGGCATGAGCCCTTGCAGTGGGAACGTAAAAGGGCTGATGATGATGAAATAAATTACTCATACATCCCTCATAACTACTACTTACCATATACATTTACACGATGCAGTTATGCTACATAAATTAAAATATATAATTGTAATAATTATTTAATTAAAAAAAAATGTTCATTGGCCATTTACACATCAAATGTAAAACCTGAAAACATAAACTCACAGTATAACTAAATCTGGAGCAAAACAATCAACTTCAAATTGAACTATTCAGATTTTAAGGCTTCATATCGATTGCAGCAAAGAAAACTTATAGTAACTTGACATACTTATTAGTATGATCGGTCAAAACAATTAATTTAACCCAGAAAGGGCAAAACCGACATATTAAAAAGAAACAAATTAATTTTAAAATGCATCTAACGTCCAATTGTTTTAGGTTTAATCGTAATTGAGACAGTTTTGTACGCAATAAGCATTAGCTTCGCGTAACTGCGAGCTTATTGTACCGTTAATTGTTTAATTGACGTAGATTGTTTTGGGTATACATTAATGTCACTTGGCGGGATTGTAATTAGAATCGTTTGTTACCTGTGGAAATGGGCGCTGTTAAATATGGACGTGAAGTTATGTGGTAATGTGTTATAAACATTTTTATTAAACTTTAACGGTCTTGGTGTTCCATATTATGATATCACTCGTAAAAACTGCTTCATCACGTAATACCTGTCTTAACGTGGCGAAGTGGAGTGGTTTCTGTTATCACCTATTATCGTGATAATGCCAGTAACAAATTTTTAATATATTACTTTGAAATTTTAAGAGCATCTATTAAATTTTTAAAACGGTATATTCGCGATCTCAATCTATTACAAATCTATTTATTTTAAATCTAACATCGACTTCAGTAATCATGATCTAACTAGCAAAATAAGCAAACAATTTTGCAAAACTGACAACTGCAGATTTCTATTATAAATGGCACAGGAGTTATCAACACTCCATATATATTTTGTTGATAAATAAAATCACATCTTAAGCCAAGTTCTCGTGGTAGACATCACAAAAATTCCTTACTCACGTTTACAACTTTACATCTACAACATCATCTACATGCATATTGCCAATATTCTTAAAAGCTTAAATCACCATCAGCAACTTCTGTTTCACACAAGAGGATTAACCAGAATATTTATTGAAGTTGATCAGTATTGCATTCGACGTTGACTTCGACGCAGATTTTTTTTAATAGCAAAGTAGACATAGATACCGGCTACGTTAAATTTTAACTAACTTTTACTGGTCATTAAATAAAGATGAGTAAAAGTTTATTTATCGAGGAGTAGTATTAACCCAAACATAATAATGGCACAATTATTAGAATCAGTTATGTATCTATCTGTGGTAGATTGAAGATGTTATCTTCATCATCATCAGCCCTTTTACGACCACTGCAGGAGCTTAGGTCTTCCTTACGGATAGTTAAGATGGATTATGATCCTCCACACTGGCCTAATGCAAATATAGCCGGGACTAATGACTTAATGGCCTTCCGAAGCACGGAGTAGCTCGAGATAATATTTTTTTGGTTAACCAACCCGTGATCGACCGGTGAGAAAGTTGCTTAACAACAAAGACCTTGGGCCTCGGCGCTTATCCG